AAAACAGCCCCCTTGCCCCCCCCAGAGGTTTCAGGAATCTTCAAAAGGCTTCCCTGAAGCCTCTGGAGGACTAAAAATGACCCTACTCATAGGGTCAGTTTAAGCCCTCCGGAGGCTTCAGGGAACCTCCTGAAAGTCCCTAAAGCCTCCAGAGGGCTTAAATAACCTTACGAGCAAACCGGAAGTCTGTTCCCAAACTTCCGGTTTGCCCATAAGGCCAGTTTTTTTGTGCCCCGAAGGCTTCAGGGAACGTCCTGAAGCCTCTGGAGAGCCTTGGGGAGAAGAGGCTCTTTTTGCCGTCTCCAGGCTCCTATAAAGCCTCTGGAGCCTGGGGAGGGCAAAAAATGGCTTTTAAAAAGGCTGAACTCAGCTGGCCAGCTAACAGGGCAATGCCTTGCGTGCCCTGACAAATGGCTCCGTGTGCCACCTGTGGCATGCGTGCCATAGGTTTGCCATCCCAGCACTAGGCTATTAGACGCTGTAGTTCTTTTCTCATATGTAATCTGAGTGAAGTACGTCATAGTGGTGCAGGCAGGCTGAGCTGCAATAGTATTTTATTGATCATGGCCATACATTTGTCCTCAAGAATAATCAAGCTTTGTGGAAAATGTCCAGACCAAACATTTTTAATATTGGATTTTCCCCCTTCCAGAGGGAGCCCCCTTGTGGAGTACTGTGAAGCCGCTACTATGGCACTGCGCTGAACAGTAGAAACCATTTTACAGCAGTAGTCATTTGAAGGCACAACAGGCTGTATCATAACAGAACACATACCCTGAGGGATGTTAGGAGTGTCTTACCACCATAGTATTTGTTTCCAGAGAGTAAGTCATCTGTGTACCAAGTTTGGTTAAAATGGCTTGAGGCATTCAAGAGTTATGCTGGAACATACACATGCACACAGCCATTTTTATACATATAGATTATCTCAACCTTTTTAGTCATGATTTAAAAGTTGGTTATGAAATGGAAATTGATCTTGCTAGTTCATAACCTCATTTGGGATCTTTCTTGAAAAAAGGAAGGAAAAAAATCCTTCTTAATCAGCAGGTAAAAGTTATGACCAAGGAAGCCTTCGCCCATCTTCACTTAAGCAAGTTCACCCAAGCAAGATGCTCTGGCAATTCATACTTGAATCACAATTAGCCAGACTACTGGAGACACTCTATATTGGGTTAGTTGGACAGCTGATACAGATCTTTTCTTTATTTTTTCAACGAAGTTGCATGAACTCACATGGACTACAGTACTGGAGCCAATTTTATTAGGTCATCCCAATATCTACTGACAGCTGTCAATCTTGGAAAGGTTTAATCTGAATTTATTTTGGCCAATCCAGAACCTCATGAGCGTCAGGACTGCACAAAAGACTTTGCTAGCAGTTCCAGATTGGCCCAGAGTAGCAATGTACAATGCAGCAGCTAGATTTCTAACATAATTCCATTAGATTGAAGTAACACTGGTTTTGTTAATGCTATTGTTTACCACTAGGCTTCTGATTCCAGTTCAAAGTGCCAATTATTGTCTTTGAAATAGTTAACAGCACAGCATCTGTATCATTGTGACATGCAGTATAAAGTATTTTGTAGAACTCCAGAAAATAGTTACGTGAAACACTGGCCAAGCTATTAAAATTTAGTAATAATATAGTAAGCTACTTATTTGTATCTCGTACTATTATTACAAATAGGTCAGGGTGGTGAACGCATATGAAGTTTCTTCCTCTTTTCCCTATAACCACCATGTGAAGTGAATTGGGCTAAGAGACTTAGCCAGCTTTTATGACTAAGTAGAACTAGAACATACGATCTCTTTGTCTCGTTCCCCCCTTTCCCTTGTCTTTTGTGAGCCACCCGGAGTCCTCCGGGAGTGGCCGGCATACAAGACAAATAAATAAATAAATATCCCATTTCTAGCCTGGTGCCTTAACCACTCACTGGACCAAATTGGTCTGAAGATGCCTAAATATTGTTTCTAAGAAGTTATCATGATGGGACCCAAGTTTTTATACTATATTGGGATTGATGAGAGACAAGGGATACACTACAGAACAGTTTGGTACAAAAGAATTTTTGGCATTTGGAGCGATATGGAAGTTTATAGAGTTCTCAGGACAATTTTCAGACTTTACACATACAGGTGAAACTCGAAAAATTAGAATATCGTGCAAAAGTTCATTTATTTCAGTAATGCAACTTAAAAGGTGAAGTTAATATATGAGATAGACTCATTACATGCAAAGCAAAATAGTTCAAGCCATGATTTGTCATAATTGTGATGATTATGGCTTACAGCTCATGAAAATCCCAAATCCACAATCTCAGAAAATTAGAATATTGTGAAAAGGCGCAATATTCTAGGCTCAAAGTGTCCCACTCTATTCAGCTAATTAAGCCATAATACCTACAAAGGGTTCCTGAGCCTTTAAATGGTCTCTCAGTCTGGTTCAGTAGGAATCACAATCATGGGAAAGACTGCTGACCTGACAGTTATGCAGAAAACCATCATTGACACCCTCCATAAGGAGGGAAAGCATCAAAAGATAATTGCAAAAGAAGTTGGATGTTCCCAAAGTGCTGTATCAAAGCACATTAATAGAACGTTATGTGGAAGGGAAAAGTGTGGAAAAGGTGCACAAGCAGCAGGGATGACTGCAGCCTGGAGAGGATTGTCAGAAAAAGGCCATTCAAAAGTGTTGGGGACTTTCACAAAGAGTGAACTGAGGCTGGAGTCAGTGCATCAAGAGCCACCACACAGACAGATCCTGGACATGGGCTTCAAATATCGTATTCCTCTTGTCACGCTGCTCCTGAACAACGAACATCAGAAGCATCTTACCTAGGCTAAAGAAAAACAGACCTGGTCTGTTGCTCAGTGGTCCAAAGTTCTCTTTTCTGATGAGAGCAACTTTTGCATCTCATTTGGAAACCAAGGACCCAGAGTATGGAGAAAGAATGGAGAGGCCCACACTGCAAGATGCTTGAAGTCCAGTGTGAAGTTTCCAGTCTGTGTTGATTTGGGGAGCCATGTCATCTATTGGTAGGCTGTGCTTCTTTAAGTCCATGGTCAACGCAGCAGTCTACCAGATATTGGAGCACTTCATGCTTCCTTCCACAGACGAGCTTTATGGGGATGCTGACTTCATTTTCCAGCACCTGTCCACACTGCCAAAAGCACCAAAACCTGATTCAATGACTGTGGGATTACTGTGCTTGATTGTCCAGCAAACTCGCCTGACCTGAACCCCATAGAGAATCTATGGGGCATTGCCAAGAGAAAGATGAGACATGAAATCGAACAATGCAGAAGAGCTGAAGGCTGCTATTGAAGAATCCTGGTCTTCCATAACACTTCAGCAGTGCCATAGGCTAATAACTTCCATGCCACGCCGCATTGAGGCAGTAATTGCTGCAAAAGGGGCCCAAACCAAGTATTGAGTACATATGCATGCTTATACTTTTCAGAGGTCCGATATTGTTCTATGTACAATCCTTGTTTTATTGATTGCATGTAATATTCTATTTTTCTGAGATTGTGGATTTGGGGTTTTCATGAGCTGTAAGTCATAATCATCACAATTATGACAAATCACGGCTTGAACTATCTTGCTTTGCCTGCAATGAGTCTATCTCATATATTAGTTTCACCTTTTAAATTGCATTACTGAAATAAATGAACTTTTGCACGATATTCTAATTTTTCTGAGTTTCACCTGTACTTATTCGTAAGATATATTGCAGAACCCACTAAATTCTAATTTCAAGAACTACCCAAGTGGTAGTTCACTTGTAAACCACTTGTTAGCAAGTGGTTTACAGTAATGGCCAAAATTGTGGAAACCTTTTGGGTACAGTATTTTTGAGGCTTGATGGCTAATGCCACCACTTTTTTTTTGTAGTAGTAGTACCATAAAACTACATATCAATGGAAAGATAATTTAATCAAGAATGAATAGCAGTTTTTTTTCATGGAATTCTAGATTTTAGGCTAGATTTTAGATTCCTGCAGTCTGCGTCAAACAGTCCTTGCACTCAACTTCACATTGCATTGTGCCATTCGCTAAACATATTGGGAAAGCCACAATTAAGGCAGAATTCCTCCTCTTAAAGTTTACCTGTCAGTTTTTAGTTTCCTGGACTTACAGTTTCTGAATACAGTTGAAGTTAGCTAGTTCTTCTAACAATGAGAGATTAAAGCAGCCACACTGTGTGATGGTGAACCTATGGCACGTGTGCCACAGGTTGCACATGGAGGCCTCTCTGAATGTGAGCTGTCCCCCAGTTGAGGTCCACCACACATGTGTGCGCGCCTCGCACCAGCCAGCTGTTTTTCAGGTCTCTGTGGCGTGTGTTGTTTAATAAAAATGCAGTTAAAACACTATATAAGCCATTGAGAATATAATTATATACATCCAACAGAAACAAGAAGTGCCTCACAGGAGCAGATAGAGGTAAATCCTAGAGATTTAAGGAAAAGCATCACTGAACAATAGAGATGAATGCTACAGAGGAATAAAGCTGCATATAAGGCAAACATCTGTAACAGCGTAAGCATGCACAGGGTGGGGGAAGTGATGCCCCCCCCCCATTTTTTGTCCCAGGAGGCTGCAGGGAGGCCTGCTAGGCCCAAAATGGGGTGCAGGAAGGTGGGGGTGTGCATGAGCAGGGGGAGGGTATTGCACATGCATTGTATTATGGGTGTGGGCACAATGTTCACTGCATAAAACACAGACATTTCCACCCACTTTTTTTGAAATGGAAAAGTGTGTCTTATACTCTGCAAAATATGGTATCATGTTTGCTGTGAATCATATTTACTCAGCAATATTTTCAACTTCAAATAAATAGAAGACTTCACCCTCCACTTACGTAAATTAACTGATTTGATTCATAAAATTATAACAATGAATAACTGTTATAACATTAGGGCAAAAATATATGAATTTGTATTTCACCGGATCGCAGTGCACATGTCTGAAATAACTTTTTCACACGACAAAATGAATTAAAAGTTTACTTTAATTCTGAACCATCTGAATAACTGTTTTCGTGAAGTATCTGTATCACAGCAGGCTACAATATTGGATAAAAGGCAATTGATAAATTGTCCAATACAAGGTTCCATACAATAGTTTTTATTGACCTCTATCCAGCATTTCCAGATAAAATTTTTGATTAGAAACAGGAAATAGATCCACTAGCTTATTTTAAGCATATTAAAAAGGAAACTAATTGGACCATTTCTATTTGTCTAACTGTTTTTATACAAAAGGGATACATAATGTTACACTTTTCTGAATACAATTAGAGTGATTATGAATTAGTGTTCTACACCATTACTCAATCCTTAAAAATCAGAAATTGCTATAGCATGTTCACTATAACTTAAACACAGAGACTTAAAAACCCTACAATTACTGCAAAAGATAAAACTACTTTGAAAGCAAGCAAGGTCAGTACCATTACAGTTATTTAAAAATTAAAAAAAAGTTTTAAACAAGCAAGGCTAGAGTTTGATAAATTTCATCTTGTGATTCATTCTTGTGCATTCTTCTATTTCATGAGTTACTCCCCAAATCCATTTGTTACTCCTCGACCAAAAGGACCAGAACAAAAAGTTTACTTCAGTTGTTCCCATAGGAAACTCAGCTTGGTTAGTGTGTCAGGCACTTTCTGAGATACTAGCCCACCCCACGAGCACTCTCAGCAACTCTACAGGCCAATTACAATGCAAGATCAGAAAACACAGCTGTGTAAAAAAAACAAAAAAAAACCAGAAGTTAGATCAATTATGATGAATACTCATGTTAAGAATTGCATCAAACTTGCATCAAATTTATGTTAATCATGTTTACATCTCAAATTTGATACTTATTTCTGATTAATTTGAACCAACCCAAAGCAATTCCTCCCTGCCAGGCAACTTCTCAGATTGTAGATACAGCTTCTTACCTAAAAGAATGATTTACAGATCAGTATCGAACCAGGCCAACTGATTACTGTCACCTGGGGGAAGCCCATCCATAAGGTCCTGGGCATGTCCTAGATCTGGTAGTCCATCAACCGGGTAGTCAGCACCAGGGTGATGGCCACCCATTTCATGTTCCATCATTGGGTCCATACCCAAGGTATCCTGACCATATCCTCCAGAGTGGAAAGTACGATAGGTAGGATCTAACAAAAGTTAAGGTTGCAGAGGGGAAAGGAGGGGAAAAGCTGTCAATATGTTACATGCAACAGAAATTCCAGGTATCAGTCTGTGACTTTCATAATTTAGCCACACTGGTCATTTTCTAGACCAGATTCATATGGATAAAACATCCTTTCCAGTACTATCAGAAGTATAAGCAAATTTCAGCCTAGCCATTGGTCTGTATATTGCTATAAACCTTTAACACAGACAAATGTGTTCTTCACATTTGTACAACTGACATGTCTAAAAATATGCTGCTGATACAAATAAATCTGTACCCTTCACATGTTAGAATACAAGCAGCTAATATTGTCTTGGTGAAGTAATCACTAAGGTTTCAATATACATTAAACAGTTATCACTTAGTGGCCACTTGTTTAAAGACTGTTCAAAGATAAGACAGCAATGAAAAAGGAAACTTATGGCTAGCCCTTGCAGTTGCAATTGCCATACAATTATGGTCATAGTATCCTATGGTCAATGATTACCATCTGTACCATTACCAACTTCTGATAAGCAAAATTAATAGGGAAGCTAGCAGGATATTGCAAGTTGCAGTCATGTTGACAACCTGCTGGCCTATCCACTGACTGGAACTGGAACTGCCATCATAAGTTCGCATTTATTATTGTTCCACCAAACAATACAAATAACTAAATTCATTATGTGGTCAGCCAGTTCACATTTAATGTTTCGATTGAGTCAAGTCAGCTGCACAACTGATACGTACCATCTGGGCGATAGCCAAGAGGTTCTCCTTGTGCACCAATGTCAAGGCCCAAATCAGCACTCTGTAAAATATGAAAAATGACATCTGAACTAGGTACACAATTTCAAAAACAAGTTATTTCTATGTAGTCATAGAATGGACAGTTCCAGTTACTTTTCTATATAGCTAGTCTTAGGGTTAAGCCAAATATCTCATTAAAAAAAGTTTTACATTACCTTTTCCATGCAAAATTGTTCCTGTCATATTTGCCATACACAGTTAAGGTCTAATATTGGATGCTTTGCTTTCTTATATAAAAATTTTATAGGCACATCATTTGGAAAAGTATTCCAGTGATATATTGTAACTTTGCACTGAAGATTAATCCATACAGAACATAAAGAAATATTTGGCAAATAGGCCAAAGGCAGATGAAAATAAGCATTAGGAACTCAATCGAAACCCTGATTACTTTGTTTGCTGTTTATATGTAATATGTGACTTAAAAGTTTAATTTGAAACTTTTTATGGAATTCAAAGAGAATTATATGAACAGGAAGAAAGATAAATGGAGAAAATTTAGCACTCTAACCCACCTCATTCCAAGCCATTGGTTCAGTCCTAAAAAGAGAACTGGTCAGTTCTACTGACAGACGTTTCTTATAATCCTGTGGTTTATCTTCAGACATTCTGAACAATACCGCAGCTGCATATGTTGCTGTCCAAGGAAAAAAGAATGTTAGCAGAGGAATTTAAAATCAAAACAAAGCGAGTCCGTATCTATTTCACTTACCCACACCCTCGTTTCTAGAATGTAGTAGTTCTGTTAATGGTGCTGTAGCTCCCTCTGCTTCAATTGCCTCAGCTGCTTCTTTATCTTGAGCCAATTCACATAGTACACCTGCAGCTACTCTCTGGATGTTCTCAATCGGGGAATATAGCAACTAGCGGTAAGAAGAAAAATAATAAATTTAGGGTATTTTTAAAACTCAAATCATTAATAACTAGGATGATGTCTGGCTAATATCAGGAATCCAAGTTGTGGTAGGAACCTTCATACTGAAATTACAACTAGACTATAGTTGCAATGGAGCAAATAAATAATGAATCCCTTGCAGGTTGTCCTGACTTATAACTGGGAACCTTTAGATTTCAAGAGGTTTTTTTTTTTTTTTTTTCAATTTTTGTATTGACTACCAATCTCTGAACTCAGATCATGTTTTAAAAAGCATATGCAATGTATTTTCATTAGATCATTACTAGCTTTAGTAGCTGTCAAAAGACTTCACCTACCTGCACGAAGAGTGGAATGGTGTTTAGACCCCTTATTACAATCCGATTGTGGACGTCTCTAGCTAGGATATGAAGAGCTCCAGTGCAGCCCTCAACTATTTCCTCCATACGCACACCCTCCTGTACAAAAACATAATAGATTTAATATTCATAAGCCAAGAGTGGTTGATCACTATTAACATCACAATATTACCATTCTTCCCCATCAGATAAACATTTTCATTTACTCAGCTGCTGCCATATAATTTAGTTATCATATAGATTTTCTGGTTAATCACACATTTTTGGCTTTCTGAGGGCTTCAAAGGACATACATAACACTGCAACAGCAACAGGCAGGGATAATAGTTCACAATTCCTATTTTTCATATTGGGAGGAGGACAATTGAGGGAGAAAAGTGAAGTCTCTGAGTTGAAAAGTTGAGGGGCTGATTTTTCTATTTAGAAATCTTAAGAGGAAAAATCAGCCAAATTCATTAATGGTTTTAATAATATTATTAAATTTGTAAGATCTAATAAATATTCTGTCTTTTAGCGCCTCACTCCCAGAAACAAATAAGACATCCAAATTTTTCATACCCTATTTAGAGGAAATTGGAGATGTGCACATGGATTTTGGTCTCACAGAAAGCCCATGGGTAAGAACTTCTACCTAATATAGTCTATTAAGTCAATAAACATTGATGCTCTTTTTTCCCACATTGCAATACAACTTGTGAATTCATTGGCAATGAATTTAAATCATGTGGACCTACAATGCTCTGGGTACAAATCTTTGGAATACTTTCATCCTCATCATGACCATATACTTGGTTTACCCTTATTGAAATTTACTTCTAAAATGTTCTTGGTTGCCTAGAATTAAGATTAACAGTTACCAATACTTTTAACAAGTAAACATTATTAGTTTAACTCCTACAAGATCAAGTTCTGAAAAAGAAAACCAGATGAATTGGTTTTAATTTTTAATTTGCAATAATGATTCTAATATTCAGGAATATTACCATTTTTTTTAAACTGGAGATACTATCTGAACTGGGGATATCTGCTGCTATAGAGTTTACCTATGTAGGTGAACAGTCAGAATTTGAACACTGAGATATCAAATCTCTAAGACTGTAGTTCAAGAATGAAAGAACAAAGCTTTGATAACAACCATGTTTTTAAAGGCCAGTATTTTTTGGCTGCAGTACATATCAAAATTATTCTGAGTGCACACAATTATTATAGCATGGAGATTATGAAGATCATGTCAGAACACATTTTCACACATTAACTCAGCATAAATCAATTGTGCAAAAGGTGTTTATGAATTTTGGTAGAATTATTGTGTAGTCTGAAAAACTATAAGACTACCCAATCACAACAAAATATTTTCTCTTTGCTGTCACCTGATGGTCAACTGGAGTTCTATAGCCTATGTACTTAAGAGCCCCCGTTTCATGTACTGTGTTTCCCCGAAAATAAGACAGGGTCTCATTTTCTTTTGATTCTCGAAATAAGGGATTGGCCTTATTTTCAGAGAGGTCTTATTATTTTTCAAGTGCAGGGGTCAACAAGCCCACCAGCCCCACCCTCTCCATCCCACCACCTGCTTGCCTGCAGTCCCAATAACCCAAGTTCTCCTTGCACCCTGGCCTTCCTCTGCCCTGCTTGCTTGCCGCCGAACAGCTGACAATGCTGTTCTGGCCTCGCAGAGGGCTCTTCCTGGCAGAACACACACGCATACAGAGAGAGAGAGAGGTCCCTCACGCACACCCTTCCTCTCCAAGGCAGCCACATTCCTTCACTAACTTGTTTTCCAGCTCCATTCTCCGCTCCATGTGCAGGACAAAAAAAGTAGTCTGTGACTATGGTAAAAAAATACCAGAAGATACCTTCCAACTTCTCACAAAAAAAATAAAAAATAAATCTCGCAAAGTTGGAAGTAGTCCCATAAACTACTTTTCTTGCCCTGTACATGGCAGTGGAGAATGGAACAGGAAAGCAGTGGAGGGATGTAGCTGCCTTGGGAGGGGTGGGGGTTAGGGCTCTCTCTCTCTCTCTCTCTCACACACACACACACACCATCCTTTCCTTGGGACCTCTGCACAGGCGCAGAGAAGGCTTCGGATAGAGTATTTGGGGGATGTGCGTCTGCACTGAGATCCCAAGGAAAGAATGATTGCTAGGAAAGGGGGGAGGATTATTTCTCTTATCCTGTTCTGAGTCTGTGCTGAGCTTCAGAACAGGGTAAGAGGAAGGAAAATCTCCTCTCCCCATTTTCAAAAATGCCCCATTCTGTGTCTTCAATGCTGCAATCCTGGAATATGCTGAAGGCTTGGAAAGGAGCGTTTTTGCAAACTGCTTGAAAATGGGGAGGGGAGGGAGAAGTAGCCCTGCGGCCAAAGTGCAGGAAATCCCCCCCCCCACCTGCAGATCGTCCTTTCAAAGAGAAGTTTCACCAGTGCGAAGAGGTGCCATTTGTGTCTCCTTCATCCTGGTGAATCTCCTTTTTGAAAGGACGATCTGCAGGGGGGGGGAGATTTCCTGCACATCAATAGCGGCATCTCCTTGCAGGGCTTCTTCCAATGTCCCAGGTGTATTGATTTCCATGACTTCCTTTCCTGTTCCGTGGATGGAATTGCCTGCTGTGACTATCACCGTAAGGTAAGGAGAGTATAAGGTATGTGAGTTGTGTTGTTTGGCCTCCAGCTTCTTTTGCAGCCACAATTGGCTGCAAAAGTGACCGGTGCTTGCTGGAGGCAGAGGTCTGAGCGGCACTGCAAATCAGCTGTTTTGTGAATGGAGTGGCTCAGCTGATCCGATTAAGGGACTAAGAAGCCCTGAGGTGACCGGGGAAGGGAAAGGCTGCCTCTTGTTCTGGCTAAACTCACCCCTTCACTAGGGCTTATTTTCATGGGAGGGCTTATATTTTTGCCCACCCCAAAAATCTGGCATGCACACTTACATATAAACCCCATTCATTACTGACATGTCAAATGTATTGAGGAGATTGTGATCTAAGGTTATCATGATCCAAATAATTTAAAAAATCTTACACAATATATGGGAATGAGTACTAAGCCTCAGGACCTTAGATATTACAGTATTTATAAAGTGCCACAATTTATTTATTTTTAATTTTATATAGCTACTCATTTCATAAAACAAGTCATTCTGACTGGTAGATCTCATTTAACAATAATGGGAGCCCGAATTTCTTTCATTGCAAGTGATGCAATTGCAGAGCAATGTTACATTACCATACTGCTTAGCAATGGAAATTTCAGCATTTCCAGTTGCCAGTTAAGCAATCATAGCAGTACATTAAGCAAGGGTTTCAACTTTGCAACTTCCTGCCAGCTTCCTTATTGGTTTTGGTGGAAAGTCACAAAGAAGGACACTAATGGCAATCAGATAATTGATTTAGCAGTTTTAAATGTAACATATATTTTTATTTATATACTAAATTTTATTTCATGAAATACTAATTTGTAACAAATAGATCAACAACTAAGGTTGAAAAAAATACTCGGCTGATTAAAGTAAATAGAACTTGAGTATCAGACCTGCAAGCCAACTTTTCTTTTGGTTTGGATTTCAGCCCTGCCACACTTTCTACCGTGGGAAAATGGGAAGGGGTGGGTGGGATACGTAACCATAGCAGCATTCTTCTTAGAAAGTCAGTCGCTTTTGTCTCTACACCTGGACGGATGTGGATGGGAAGAATCTTTCTTCGTGGCAGTGGAAAATTGGACCATGTGATGAACTTGTGTGTGTTGGGGCAAGATCTTGAACTTTCAACTAGGTGGGAAAATCTGGAAGCTTTCCCAGATGTGCCAACATGACATCTCTAATAAAGGGGAACTTTGAGGAAACACAAGCCTCGGAATTTTATTTTGTTTTTTGGGACTCTGACAGATCTTTTCTACCACGAATCCCTGCAACACTAATTAATGAATCAACACAACACTAATTAATGACACTCTGCATCAAGAATCACATACCACAAACTGCTGCTGTGTACCACCCATTGAAGTTCGACGTTGAGTATCTTGATGTGCTCTAACTAGTAGTTGCACTAATCTTGGTATTGCCCCTTGTTCACGCAATGGAGCATGATTTGCTGGGCAGAGAGCAAGATTACGAATCAAGCCAACAGTTGCCTGCAAATATAAGGAAAACAATTAGAAAGAAATTGCATGTTGCACAGTATTGCATAATTTAGCTCCACAACTCAAGTTTAATTCAAGCCCCACAAACTCAACTTTAAAATAATTTTAATTTATTGCGTTCTTGTAATATATATTTTAGAAGCCATGTAGATTTTGTGCATCCTTCCTGTTTCAAATCAAAGATAATACTGATATCCATTACCAAATCACCTTACCTTTATAAGAGGCCAGTGGGAAGGTGGATGCAAGAGTTTAACCACCACAGGTAGACCATAATGAAGGCGCACTGCATTTTGGGCCATTTCAGCTTCCTGATGTCGACTGGTGAGGTGGCGGAGGGCACAGATAGCTGGCTCAGTGATGTCTTCCCTGTCACCAGCACGGAGAACTGTGCGCACAAGGGCTTCAATTCCACCAACTTGGCACACCATCATTTTATTCTTGTAGTTATTGCAAGTAAGATTAGAAAGAATGCCAGCAGCACAAGTCACAACATTGATATCATCTGATCCTAAAAGCTGCACAAGTGTTCCCAAAAGACCTTCCATGCCTTCCTGTAAAAAGATTTAATATCAGCTTTTCTTTAAGATTGTATGCTATCATGTATGCTATCATGTATGCAATTATAGATAGTCCACACAATTGAGTGTGGAATTTTGGTTCTAAGTTGTAGTGGTTGTTAAATGTATTATCACATGACTCAATTGTCATAAAGCCTTGTTGCTGTGGTTATTAAATTAATTATATGATTAATAAGTGAATCAGCATATCATTTCTTTCTACTTTCTGCTAGAAAATGGCAAAAAACATGGGAAATCACAATCATGTGTCCGCAGGATGATTCAACTGGTTGTAAATGTGAGCCAGTTGCCAAGCACCTGAAATACAATCACATACAATCACTGTGAGACTGGCAGTGGTAATGCTGTGAAGTAGCTTTTTTGAAATCTTGTCACAACAGTTGTTAATTAACTGGTAATATGGCAATACTACCTGCAGAGGTGGGTTCCTACCGGTTTGGACCAGTTCGGCCGAATAGGCAGTAACCTGGCGGCCTGGATCAGGTAGTGACTCAGGCCTGTCACATCGCCAAACTGGTTCTCCATAGGCGCCACCATCTTGGATTTTGCTTCTGTGCATGCGCAGAGCAATTTTTATTGCACTGGATGGCTACTCCCACCTGCTCTGACACTCGCCCTGCCTTGCCTTCGTCACGTGGATCCACAGAACTGCCTCCTCCTGCCTACACACAGTAAGCAGCATTTGTGCTAGCCTAGCCTCCCACTCCCCGCCGGCTGTAACCCAGGCCCTGCCTGGTCAGCCGGCCAGGAAAACAGCAAGTGAGTGGCTGAACTGACCTGGCCTCCAATGCTCCTTTTGGCAGGGGTGGCAGTTGTGAGCGGTAAGGGAAGCAAGTCTCGGGCTGGCATCCCTTCTTCCTTCCTCTGAGAGCTGTGGACGCTGGGTCGCTCAGAAGCCTGTGCGCTGCTGCCATGTGATTGCTCTGGCCAGAGCAGGGGAGGCGAGAAGGGGAGGGGTCGCCTGGTGGGCGGGGGCAGTTTCTCTTTCAGCCTGCGAAACCGCGTTTAGTTGGCTCAGCTGCCAGGGATGCTTTCCCGGCCGACTACCAATTTATAAACAGAAATTAACCATCTTCTTTTAAACTTTCATTTTCAATGAGAATTTAAAGTTTTAGAAAAATTCTTATTGAAATGGAAATTTTAAAAGAAGATGGTTATTTCTGTTTATAAAGGTCACGTCGTGGCGGCATGCAGGCTGCTGACCAACCCACCACCGCAGGGCTGTCCCATAGTGTTTCCCAGTCGGGAAGAGGGACAAGGAGAAAGCAGGACCGCCAAAGGGGCAGCTGCTGCAGCCGGCAACAGAGCACGAAGAAGCGGCCGCCCAGTAGAGCCATGAGCGTCCCCAGGTTGGTGGGGAGATTGCACAGGGCTGGAGGGGGTGGGGATTGAGGACACCCTGGGCGCCTGCAACAGGACGCTCTTTTATGGGTCCACAGAGGCTCGACTGCAGCAGCCCAGCCCCTACCTTCCCCCAAACCTGGACAGCGCAACTCCCCGGTGTCCGAACTGCAGCAAGCGAAATGCCACTTCAGCAGCAGTGGTCTCCAGGTTGCAAAGCACGGGGAGCAGAGAGCAGCCACGCCCAAAGAAGCAGAAAGCAGCCATTGCCACTACTACCCCACTGTTGCCGCTGGTGGTGATAGTAATAGTAGACATGGACGTATCCTTGTTGTAGGTCCCGCCATAACCAGTCTCGTGGGAGGCACAATGGGAGGCAGCCCGCCGACAAAGGGAAGGGCATAGCGGTGGGAGAGGCTAGCCATGGGGGCTCGATTCCCTCCTTCCTCCGAGAGCCAGGGGTGGCAGGAAAAGGGAGGCTTCTTTGCCAGCCTCCCAGCTGGCAAAGCAGAAATTTTCACGGTTCTGTCGGCATGGCTAGGTGGGGGGGCATATGATTGAATGGGCATGTGTGTGAGTGACATCAAGTTGGCCACGCCCATTCAGTCACATGCACTCCCCACCTAGCCATGCCCACAGAACCTGTAGTAAAAAAAATTGAAACCCACCTACCTGTCTATCTGTAATAACCCTGAAATATAATCTCTGCCACACTCCATATCTGCTTGACCCACTCTAGATTATTGGTTCTTTGGTAAAAATACCCTCACCTGTGGTTTCTATCAAGATAGCTTTTTTGTATTGTTTTATCAGCAGTATTGCAATTAACAGTCCTTCAAGGAACAATAATTTCTCATAGGTGTATATCCTTGTTGTTTTCTAAATAAAGGCACTTAAGGGCATTGTTGTACTTTGAAGTTAGTATAAAGATAAGCAATTGTTGAGGAATAACTAAGAATTTACATTTGTCTTGCAATTTCAATCAAATCCATGAAATTATAATTTTGCTTTTTAATTAATTAATCTGGTTCAATATGAACACAGGAAATTATAGAAGACCTCTTAAGATTATGGTGAAAATCTTATTTAGCATTCTGTCTGAATTTACCATTAAGTTATTCCCTAGAACTATTCGTTATTTCAAACTATTTTTTAAAAAAGATCATAAATTCAGTTTTGAGCAATACCACAATAACAGTATCAACTAAATGTAATAAAAATAATTTTCAAATATAATGGAACATTAATAATCTTTTAAAGTGGCAAACCCTTACCTGTTTAGTTGCAGCATCTGAGAGATTTCTAAGAGTCCAGAGACAATTCTGAACAAGACGTTGGCTTGGATCTGTAAGATGGAGTCCTAAGGCTTGCATTCCACCTAAAGATCAATTAGGATTTACTATCAATATTTCAACCTCTTGTTATGAACGAAATATTGTTAATGTGGTTACTACAGTACAAGGTCAGTTACTGTATTCATGTACCATGATGAAATTGAAGTATACCCACTATACAATGCTCAGGAAGCTGTGAAGCATGGCTGTCAAATTCACGGCCCAGATGAGTCACATGCTGGCCACACCCATACCCAGTTTAACGAAGGGGGGAAAGTCATCATATGTCATGTGACACCCCTGGTGTAGAGCAATTCTTATCTCTGATCTAATTTTATTCACAATTCCATATGTATACTTGAAATAAGTTCTCAACATAAGACATATACTTCTGACTCTAACACATTACATGTTTGGCAAACCACTAAGCAATTAACTGGACCATGGTAAAAGTAGTTACAAAATAAAATGATGTATTATTGGCCTAATCTATCTAAAAGCCCAAATATTTGGACATATCAAGATTACTAAAAAGTGTTAAGAACAAAAACTGCAATAGTAGCATCAAAAATGTACTAAATACGTTTTAACAGCCATTAAAATTTCAAGAATTGGATTTTTGGAAAAATATCTGCTATACCAATAGTTTTTAGCTTACTTAGCTGATAACATTATTGATACATTCCACCCAGTTTAGAATATTTCCTATACAGTATAAGAGAGTAATTTTATTACCTACTCCCCGCAAAGGAAATTCTTAGTAAGTTTTGCATAAGTCCAAAACAAAAAACAGTCCTGATTTAATGAAAACTAAAGCACTTACCAGCTTCCACAATTGCTGGTTTGTTACTAGAACAGACTGATAGCACTTTCAGGACTCTACTTGTGGTCCACAATAATTTCTCATAGGTGTAAGTCCTCATTATGTTTACTAGAGCCTGGGGTCCACCACTTGCCAAAATAATTAACTGCCAAAAAAAAGGATTTAATAAGAGTAATATAGGCTATCCAGGATAACCTTTTAAAGATAGAATTTCAATTTCTTCATGCTGTCCTGCTGTCAGCATATCTGTGCATACAGATATGGAGAAAAGGGAGTTGGTACTTACCTGATACGCCTCTTCTCATAGTGGGGGGAGGAGTATCCAGAATGGGTTGACCTTATCCTCTCGTGATTGGTTTGA